AATAATAATAATAATAATAATAATAATAATAATAATAATAATAATAAAGGAAATACTCTAAATGCTCTGATGGTCATTTCGAAAAATCCTTTCTTAGTGAGCCCCTAGAAGCCAAGAGGAACATACGGGCCAAATTTCAAGTTTGTAGGCTTTATGGTTCTGGAGATTGTGTGATAATGCATGAGGGGTATTTTGAGAGAGAGATATATAGAGAGAGATATATAGATAGAGAGAGACAGAGAGAGAAGAAGAGGAGGGGGAAGAGGAGGAGGAGGAGGAGGAGGAGGAGGAGGAGGAGGAGGAGGAGGAGGAAGAAGAAGAAAGTGAAGGTGATAGTTGCCAGTTTGGTTTAGACTCTAGTGCAAGAGTCTTCAAACTTGGCAAGTTTAAGACTTGTGGACATCCAACTCCCAGAATTCCTGAGCTAACATGACTGGAGGAGGAATTCTGGGAGTTGAAATCCACAAGTCTTATAGCTGTCAAGTTTGAAGACCCCTGCTCTAGATGTTAAGCACCAGGCTAAAAACCAAGATACTTTTTTTTTTTTTTTGTTATAAACAGAATTAGATTGGAAAAATTTATTGTATTGAAATAGCTCAAAACATGGTGCCCTTTCTGATGCATTTGCCTTTAATTTCCACAATTCCCAATTAATTAGGTGGAAATTACAATGTTTTTAAAAAAAGAATGTATCTTGATAAAGGTTGTGCTATATTCACTCATCCTAAATATGGAAGTATTTGTGGACTCCGTTAATGCTTTTAAGGATTACTCTTTGAAGGCTGGGATGTAATGCATTGCCTGTTGTTAGTTTTCTTTTCCTGTGTATCTCCTGAGCATATGTAAACCATTAATCATGGCAAATTACGTAGCCCGCCCATGGTTACTAATAGTCTCGTGTATATTTCAGTCCAAGGCAACGTATTCTAGTACTAGTCATTTCTGGATTGGAATTGGGAAAAAAAACCCAAAGAATCCTTTACCAAATGCAAAGCTTGGAATCTCTTCTGCAAACAACTATTGGATGTCTATTTCATTGGTTGTCTCCAAAATCAAAGCACCATCGGCAAATCCTACTCCCAATTTCTCACGCTGCACCGGAAAATAAGAACAAGAAAATAGGAATAAAAAATGGTGTTTAAAGATCTTTATCCACCGGGTGTTGAATGTGTATAAGATAACCATGCTTGGGCTACAGGTAGTCCTCGACTTATGACCATGGTTCAGCCCGTTGCCAAGAAAGGCAATTGTTAAGTGGCGTTTTCCCTGTTTGTGGCCACCATTGTTGTGTGAATCCATGATGTTTGTTACATTCGTAGCATGGTTGTTAAATGATTCTGGCTTTCCCAGAGTTTTGCTTCTCGGAAAAGGCGATCACATTTAGGACCCCGCAGCCGTCATAGATGCAGGTATTTC